CCACTCACGGCTTGAGCCAAAATGGCTACTCTCTCTCTCTCTCTCTCTCTCTCCCACGGGCATGAGGGTCGGTCAAGACCCCCGGGCCACAGGCCCACCCGCATTGTTTTAATGCAGGGTAGGGGTGTGAAGAGCGAACATAATACTCCCAAAGAGAATGATCATATAGTATCTCTCTCTCTCTCTGTCTTTCTCCAGGGCAAAGGCATCCGATCACGTCCTGCTTTTCTGCTTCTCTGAGCCACCCTGTCCCTGCCTCTCTCTCTCTCTCTCTCTCTCTCAGCATCGCCCACCCTAAACATGGCCTTGCCTCGACAGGAGGCAGCTTCAGTGCCCAAAGCCCAAGCTCCTCCGCCGCCTTTGCTCCCTGCGGCCACTTCTATCATATTTCCCAGGCTGCAATGACGAATAAGACTTCTGCCGATTTGCTGCTGCGGTGACATGCCGGTCGGTGCCTTTGATGCTAGCCGGTCTAAAGGTCTGATGCCTCAGAGAAAGCGACGTGCATCGAGAGTCAAACTGATGTTGGGTGTGGGGGTGTGAAAACAGCTCTTGGGCGGCTGGCCGAGTTGAACCAGGTGGCGGGAGACCTGCTTCCCGGTCGACAGCCAGTGTTCAGACCAGTTACGATAGTTACGTGACTCTTTCGATACTCTACGCCTGGATGGATTCCAGGACCACCTTGACAGGGAGAGCTCTTGAACTTTAGAGCCGAAAGCACATTCTGCGTGTCTGCTTCTCGAGGGCTTCGTGGCGCATTTTGACAAAGCGAGGTGCTGACCTTGGTTGCATTTCGCATGGCCTCGCGATGCACCACATGAACCGTCGTGCTTGCAGAGTCACACCCACCGGTCGCCTGAAGGCCAAGGCTTGTCCAACCTGGCTGCCTCGCGCCGAAGCTCACACGGATGTAGGGCAGATAGAATTCCCGTAAGATATTCCCTCGAAGTCCGACAGTGAAATCACGTGAGAAGGGCCACATCTAAACTTACTGATCCTGTTTTCGACTGCGGGTGAGACGTGCAGGACAAATTTGTCGCACATCTGGCACTTCCGCAGGTCAACGCAGATTTCCATTGACCTGCCAATCTTCATCATCTGCCTGCTGTCGATCTAGCAAGATCTAAGTCTTTGACGAGCACAGCAAAGGCAGACACGTCGTCAACATCTTTGAAAGAAGGGGAGCTGCAGATCTCGGCTCAGCTACATCAAGAGGCATCCGGAACGGCAGCCGGTTGTGCCCGTGCCTGGCAGATTTGTCTTTGACAGACACGGCCACACGGCAATTCAAGGCCTCGAGCTGCAGCATCATCACCCGCTGCAAGTCGCGCCAACTGTTCCTGACATGGTCGAAAGGTTGTCACACGGTATCACACGCTTCCTTCACAGAGACTTGTCTGAGTGCCGGGCCATCTGCACGCTTGTGATCCCTTTCCCCTCCTTCACGAACATCGTCCTGCGTGCGTCTGGGGCACGCGACTTAGCTTGTCTGAGCGTGCACACTGTTCGAATTCGCAGCGCTTGCCCTGTCGCAACTTTTGCCCTCAGGATAGAACATGGTGCAGTCTTGTCCAAGCAGGACGCGTTGCCGGACTGTACCCGGTAACTGATTACGGCTCTGGTAGCCTGCTGAGCCTCAGTCTTCGCAGCTTCGCAAATTCAAGCGGCCGACTGCAAGCTGAGCTTTACCGGGCCAGCCGAGAACAGTGCGACAGCTTTGCATGCATGCGGGATGCACCTACTTTCACAGGCATGCCTCAACCGCTACTCACTACTCAGGTATCCAGCATGCATCACGCAGCTGTCACCATGTCGCTGCACGAGGCTCACGCATCGGATATCTGTACATCAGACAGTGAGGTTGAAAGTCCTCCACAACCAAATGTGAACACCTTTTGAACGTTCCATTGACCATCAGCTGGGGTCTCCCAGGCCCCTCCCAGGTAGTCGGAGAAGGACTCTCAGGAACCCAAGGAATTTTACGTCCTTTCGACCTCTCAGTTACAGCTCTGGCCTGAAAGGTGCTGGAAGCTCATGATATTTCTGGTCCAAGTATGTCCAAGTCTGTGCAAGCCAGATACAAAACTTACAAGTGCACAGCAAGTTTGATGCCGCCTTCTTTGAAAATGTGCAGCGCTGGGCACACTATTCCCCAATCTCTGCGTTTTGTGCTGGTGTGCCTCTAGCACCAGAGCCAAATTGAACGACTGCAGCGCAGCCTTCCTTACTTCCTTCAAACCCTGAACAAAGTCCTGGAATTGCAAACGACTAGAGCTCTCGTAGCTCGTGCTCTCGTTTCAGCTCAAAACGCAGGCTCTACTTGTGGCCTAGCCAGAGCTTGACTTCTCACAAGGCCGTCGTTGGCAGCTGGTAAGTGTTTAATGTCAGAATTTGGTCGTCCAACGCAAGCCATGGTGTGTTCAAGTCTGGTGTGGGAAGGACAGAACTGCGGAACTGCTCGGCATGCCAGCCAAGGTCAGCCACCGCAAGCAAACAGCTGCGACCCCACAAGAAGATGAGCTCCAAAAACGATGGTGTGTGCGTGTAGCAAGTACTTGGCTTAGTTGAAACGGTTCGAGGCATCCTGTGGCCGTAGTTGGCGCTTCAAGGTTGCAACACCGAGTGAATCACAAACCGTGGCAAGCAGGCATGATCCTTCATACCCCTACCTTTGCAGCTTCGTAGCTTCATCAGCCTCGGATCCACAGTATGATCCATGCCCGCTTCGCGAAAAGGAACAGTACGGCGCCGAAAGCCTGTCACATCCTGCAAATTTTTATTTTCATTCATCTGCCCCACTTGGGCAGGACAATCGGAATGGCTCCCATCTTTTTCAATTAGCTGCACCAGTCAGCATCTATACTACCCGGGCGCGGGTCTCTGAGCCTCGTTTCCTTGTTCACAGGCAGTTGAACGAAGCAGTGCATGGCAAGCAATCCAGTGAAAGTCGGAAGACTGCCGAGGACGCTCTGGGGAAGCCAAGCCGGCCCCGAGACTGCTGTCTTCTCTGTGAATGTGTTTGTGTGTACTTTGCATCTTTGATGGCACTGGTCCACTCGAAAAGTCGGCATCTTCCGACATCAGTGCTTGCATGTCTGTCGCTTCTGGCAGCACCCCTCTGTGCTAAATCTTCGTTTGCACCGTGCCAAACTTGCATGGCACGTCCAAGAGTCCTTGTTGGACTAAAGAGCATGCATTCTGACACAACTATGCCAAGCATGCCGTAGCATACCGTCCGTCAGTAGATAGCATTGCAACGAAAGCTGGCGCTTGCCGTGCGCATGGTGGCACCGAGCAGCACATTTGTCGTCGAAGTATGTTTGTGCTGCATAGTGATATAGTGCTGTCCGTTCCACAGCGATCACTGATTGGCACCATTTTCACGCCAGATCAGTACATTCGCCTGATGCGGGTATCTTCCGCATCCTGAGTCGGCTGCTGCACGCATGTCACGACGAGCCGCGAGCTACAGGAACAGTTTTCGAGCAAGGCACCTCCACACCGTGGATCCGGAGCCAGCATTTTCCACCAAAAACCTTGGAGCTGGATGTTGAGATCGCCAATTGCTCTCGCCCTTGCCATACTATGGAACCTAGATATTCTGCAAAGGCACCACTGCGGCCAACAGCATCAGGATCGCCCACCGAGGGTTGTCACAAATTGCGGATGCGCAGCTAGCCAACCCGGCTTGAAACTGCGATACGTGCCTGAGGGTCAGTTGAACCAAGGGGTCACTGGTCTACAGATATGTCGACCACATGGCAGGCGGAAAGATTTTGTCTCAACTTCAGGGTGCCCGAGATTTCGAGATTTGTTCCGCTGTCGGCTACTATTGCGCGGCGGACACCTGAAACAGGAAGCTTATCATGACAAGCGACTTTGCCGACGGAAAGGCACCCTGCTGCTGAGAGGTGTCAGGCCTGTCAAATCTCCCGAGGCGGCATGAATGTTCTCACTTACAATTCTCAGCTGAAACAGAGACTGCATCCCTCTGCCGTCGCAGGTGGCCTCTTGCCGGACTGCGACTTGGATGCAGAGCGCTTGCCTCCATACGTGTGCAGCCACTCATGGACCGAATGACAGCATTGCATGATACTTTGTGCATGCAACTTTCTCTGCCTGCGGCGCTGGTCGTGCTGGCAGTCTCGGAGGGTGCGCTTCGGGAGCTCCCTGAGGCGAGAGCAGTGAGAGCGGACTTTTCCCGCCAGGGTGTGTGGGGACTTCAGGGCTTCAAGCATCTTCAAGCACAACCTTGACAGTGCAGTCCGGCGGCGACGGGAGGGAGCCTCGCTGACGACGGATGAAGTCCTGACCAGTCTGGGAGTCGTGAGCAGGCTGCAGCAGCTTCGATTCGACAACCCTTTGCATGCATCCAGCGGTCCTGCTCAGCTCTACAACATCCGTCTTCTTCTTTTTTGCTGGCTTCTTTTTCCTCTTCTTCACCTTGGCAGTGCAAGAGTGGAGCATGCAACAAAGCACAAGCGGCTTCCCCACGAATTCGCCAGTGAAGCCATGGTGCAGCGCTGCCAAGACCTCCAAGGCTGGCTGCTTCTCCGACGACGTCTGGCAAGGATTCGGTGATGTCCGCCTTCGATGCGCGAGCGTGCTACCAGTAACATGTGCCGAAACATTCCACCTCAACCGGCTTCTGACACTGGTCACGGTGCTTTCCCCCTAAGGTGCCTCTGGGCAATCTGCAATCGAGCTCATGCAGTCGATGCTGTCCGCCACCGTGGAGAGAGCCACAGAGTCCTCCCGAATTCCCGAGGGCCCATGAAATCTTCAAGCACCACCAACTCAATCATGGCCTTTCGCTGGCGTTCTGAAACAACAACCTGCCAGTGTCTAGACTTAGACTCTACAATAATCGGAGAGGTCGAAGGTCGTGGTCGGGGGTGACTCGATTCGACGCCTGGTGTGAGGGAGCTTCTTGGAAGCTTTCCCATTTGTGTGCTGCCCGCCACATCGCCTCGATTCTGCCGCCCTCCATGCTCCACCCGAGGTCGAAAGCCGGCCGAGTTGCACACGGCATACCATCACATCCACCTGAAGCGTTCCATGCCTTTCCGAATCTCCCGTGCGTGCAACTGCCCCAGCTTCCGTGACTTTGCAGCACAGAGCGAGGTCCTGCGAGCAATCGATCTCGAAACAAGGGAAGTCTGCCGCGCAGTCTTTGATGGATGTGATCTGGTCTTCGCAGCTTGGCTTTGCTCGCTTCCCTTCACTGGATGCGGGCTCCGGCTTCGGAGCTAGCGAAGTTTCCATTTCCTCGTGCAGAGGCTCCAGCACTTCCTCCGTGCTTTCAGTGTTGTCTTCGGTGGCAGGCTCTTCCGAACCTTGGCACCCCTAACAAGTATGGGGAAACTGAAGCGTCGCGGGCAGGGTAATTAGGTACATCGATTCATCGTCCGGCGACCAACTGGACTGGCTGACATTGTGTGAACACTCTTTTGGCTGTACTGTGCTCTGGTGGCAAGCTGCAGATTTCTCTTCTGCGTGCAGTGCGAGCAACATCCAGGAGGCGCCGTGTCGGCGCTCGTGGTGCACATTGGTTGCGCGGACGACCTCACATTCATGTCCGGCAGATGCCACCTGAATGGCCAAGCCTCACTGAAACTCAAAAGAAGACCCCAAAACCTCTGAGCCGTGCCCAGGTGCGGCTCCTGGCTGCTCGGCACCGGTGAGCTACAGGAGCTGGGCGTTGCTCCCCTGATGGAGTAGGGAGATTCTTGTCCAAGCCCGCATGCCGCATGAACTACACAGATCTACACAGGCTATACACATACACCTCATTCACTATACCTAAGTAGAAATTGCCGACAAGCAGCACACTCGTGTTGACATTCCAGGGGTCGTCATCATCTGAGTCGTTGACAATATCTGCCCATCTCCGACGTGAAGACTTGGAATCGAATCGGCTGACCTGAGATTCTGCGAGAGACCGTCTTCAGATATTGGTACTCACCGCCGCCGTCGTCGTAGCTGTATCAGTCTCCAGTATGCCGTTCAGTACTGTGCAATCTGTGCAGCCGTTTTGGAGAGCACTACTTGACGGGACTTTCGGCCTAAGCATTAACGAACCTTTTACTGCTCGGCAGTGGTGGTGGTAGTGGCAGTCGTGGTGGTGGTGGTGGTGCCAGTAGCAGCAGCAGCTGGAGGAGGAGCAGCAGTAGGAGGAGGAGCAGGAGGAGTCGCAGTCGTTGTAATGGTCGTGGTAGCAGCCGTAGTGCGTCGTGGTAGTAGTGGTAGTAGCATGACTGCTATTGTTGCTGCTACTACTACTACTACTACTACTACTACAACTACTACAACAACTACAACTACAACAACGACAACAACAACTACTACCACGACTACTACTACTGCTACTACGACGACGACGACTACTACTACTACTTCTGCCTAACAGTCAATGATGTTCGTAATGCTAAATTGCTACCGTGCGTATGGAAGCACAGCACCAGCATTGTTGCTAAAAATATTTACACTATTCAACTTCCCAAAACATGGTCAAGTGCCTGCAGCCGCGTCGACTCTCGGTTCAAGCACGTGTTAATCGTCACAAGGGCTCGGAGTTGGTCCGAGGACGCACGCCTCGGGAGACGGTAACTACAGTCTTGACGAACGTGAAGCTGCTTCCTGGGGTTGCGCTCATGTTCCGGGCAGGCCTCCCAGAACGATTCATGAAGCATATTCACTGCAACCCCGCAGCTAGACAGCTTGACCTCCTAGAAGGATCTAGAAACCACGATTTGTAAGCTTTTGTGAACATGCTGAGGCTGAAAATCCAGCAAGATCTGCTCACATGCAAGCCGCATAAAGTCCGCAGAACCCTCTTCACCGAACTTCAACGACACGATGGTATGCTGGTCTTGCTGGTTGAAGAGGATCTGCAAGAGCTGCAAAGACACCTCAGGGCTTCTCTGCAAGATTCACCGGGGCGCAGTTCAACTGCCCACGACGAGCAGATACGACGTCCCACCCGTGCCGGTTCTCCGTATCGGTAGGTGATCCCTTGAGAAAGCTTCCCAAAGTTCCTTCGAGGGGTCTCTTTTCAGAACATCGCGCCAACGTGTCCACATCGTCCCCAAAGCCGCAAGTGACCAAGAAGCCCTTGAAGCCAATCTCCTGGCACGTCTCATGCAGAGCCGTGTTCACTGCTTCTGAGGAATCCGAGTCGGAAATTTGCTTCGGCCGAGCTTCTTCAACCTATCTGGGTTCTTTACTGTTGGTCCGGCAGAAGCCAGATGAGGTGTGGTTGGCTGCATCTCTGCACAAGACGCTATCGGGTCGTGATGCCTCGAACAGCCGGGACAACAAAAGCCCAACAAGCTTCATAAGGCTTGAAAATGAATAACCCTGAGAGCCACCTGCAGCCGCCATGGCCAGGAAAAAATCGATTTGCAGTCTCCGTCTCCAAAAGATCTCTAGAGACCCTTGGCCTGTAGAACCCTACGCTTGTGAAAGGAAACGACTGAAGCCCTTCTCTCAACTTCGCTCACCGGGCCTTTGAAATGTCTGCATCGGCCTGGCGCAGGTGCTTTCCGAGATCTGCACACTGTTTGAAGGTATCAGATGCAGGGCACGAAATCCAATTCGAAGAACGTGACCCATGCTTGATCTGCTCCAATCATACTTGTCGCTGCTCCCGATCCGATTGTCAACCCGCCCCGCGTGGCAACAAACGATTCTGGACCGCACGGCCACCTGGATGATTGAACTCTTTGTCCTCATCGCCTGCGCCACATCGTTTTCAATGGCTACGGGGTTTGAGATAGCTCCTCTTGCGCTGCAGGCTTGGAAAAAGCGGTGTTATCAGAGTGCCACAACTCCTGGGCAACAAGGCCAGGGGGACATCGCGCAAGATGTTGCCGGGGCCGAAAATGAGTACTTCGCGAACACGTCCAATCACAAACAAAGCAGAGCCCTGTGGCAGCAGCTGCCCGCCTTCAGGGCATCCGTCGTCTTCGCACGATGTATGTCCTAGTAGGTTGTACAATGTTTGGCGTCATTTTGATGCAAAGCCGACACCTCAAGGCACGTCCTCAAAATCTTACCCACGCCTCTTACACGCACGAAGGCGCCCGCCATTATAAACACTCACACTTCCCCCAGCTTCAGTGCTCATGAAATCCTCGCATCTCGCCTGCAAGCCCGAAGCCTCCCAGACCAAGTGCAGCCCCTGAAGCCTTGAAGAACTCAAGCGGACTCTAAACTAACTCAAACTTCCGCTTCGTGAGCCATGAACAAACTCCTCGTCGTTTGCCGCCTGTGCGAAGATGGCCTTCAACCTTGGCATCTTGCTTTGGGGGTCGCTCTTGGTTGAGGCGCACTGCAAGGGTAGAGCCTGTCTGGCTGGCACCAAGGCCGATCGTCAACCTTGTGATATCTTGTGATACTAGCGTGTATCCAGTCATGCCACTACGCAGGGTAAGACCTTCACAGCAAGTTTCCCGAGTACCGCACACTCAACACATCTCTGACTTTGCTCTCCTTCACTCTTTGAACGCTTCGCTTCCACTTCATGCAGCTTGAAATGGAACGTTTTCAGCATCTTCAGTGCCTCATGAACATGAAAATTGGGCTGGGCCGTGCCAACAAGCCATCCCCCTCATTTTCTGCCTAGCTATTTTACGTCACCGCATCTACACATCTTGGACATGTTACAGGCTGAGTATTTCGAAAGGCACACGCTCTGACTGTTGTTCAGCAGCGAAAACGAAGATCCAGTTCGGGACTTTAGCTCTGATCATGTGGTTGGCGACAGCCGAATGTACAACTTTAGATTGAAAGTGCTTCAGTCCACCAGGAGTGAACGGCTGGCAAAAACTTGGCTCGAGCACTGGAGCCCGCAGTCTGATGGTGACACCGGTGGTGGCAAAAGCAATGTGCATGAGGGTGAGGATCATGAGTATGGCACGGAGGCTGCAGATGATGAAAGGGATGAGCCCGAGAGGGAGCGGGGGAGGATGAGGAGGCGAATAGCGATGCCAAGGATGATGCTCGATGTTGCTGGTTTGGCCACATGTTCGGAACCCGAACGCCGCTCCGAGCAAACACAAACCAGCGCACTTTATTCGGGAAAGTGACTCCGCCGCGACGACTGCTTGGGTTTCGTCAGGCTCTGTGATCGAGATCTTGATGTCACCTCGGAGCGCTAAGGACGTCTAACGACAACAGCGCTGCAACAAAGCGAAGCCGGCATCCCCTATCATTTGGTACCTTCTGACTGCCAGCAATCATCCGAGTCCCGTTCCGGGGCTTTACAGGAACAACAGCCCGCAGCATGCTCCTAACAGGGTAATTACGCCAAGCGACTAATGTCAACGATCATGTTCGACATAAACTGTCGGGCAAGCTTGGCGGCCATGCCGGCCTTATCAGCAACTTCGGAGCCTGCCCAGGCTGCCAGGGTTTTGGGTTAGGGCTGCATCATCCAAGAACCACCCAATCAGCAAACCCTCGACCACGGAGCCCTGGCTACACATTTGAAAACAACAAACAGAATCGAAGCAATGCTCAAGACTAGTGATCAAGCCTCTAATAGCAAGTGAAGGCTTGCAGGACTCACATAAAGACATTAAGTACGGCAAGAGGGCGGGATGGTTCCGGCGGCCACCCACTTCTTTTGGGGCTTGGCGAACCAATAAAACCTATGGGTTTTGCCAAAAATGCGAACAGATGTCCATATGTAACATGCACGTATGTAATATGTACATATGTGCATCTGTGCATGCATACCTACATGCGTACACATACACACACATGCATACATACATACATACATACATACATACGTACGTACATACATACATACATACATGCATACATACATACATACGTACAGGCATACAGGCGTACAGGTCTACATGCATGCGTGCATGCTACACACATACACACATACAGACAGACACGCGCGCACACATGCACAGACAGACGCACGCAGCCATGCATGTATACACACGTGTATATATATATATATATTTATTTATATTTATATTTATATTTATATTTATATTTATATTTATTTATTTATTTATTTATCTATTTATTTAATTTTATTTATATATGTGTATAAATGGAAAAATGTGTGTGTGTTTGTCATTTATATATGTATATATATATATATATATGAATACACACATATATCTCCACCAAGCCTTGCTTTTTGGCCTCATCCACGAGTTTCTGGTGTCGGCGGGACTCGAGCTGCTGAGCCGCCTTCCGCAGGTCGTCCAAGTTCGTGGCTTCAGGCGGGTTTCCTATGAGAGCCGACAAGGGGCTTGGCACCCACCCTCGGACTTGCCGAGTGGGTTTGTTACAAGGGCAGTCGTAATCGTCGTGCCCTGCCGAACAATAGAGTTTTGATACTTACAGCCTTACAGTGACAATTCCAAGAACGCAACAGTCAATTCCCACGGCGGCCACAACTACACCACCATACCGCTCAACAGCGATTCCGAAGGGGGCTCCTTGGCACGAAAATGCTCATTACTCGTCGGCAGGTGGCACATGGCAGCAAGACCACCGCTTCAGAATTTGTTCCGACTTAAATAAGGCAGCTGACGGTCCAAGAATATCGCCCAGCGACTCTCTACCCAGACTCTGAGCCAATCCAATGACGAATTGACCTGCCTCTTGACACTTCAGAAGCTACTGTATGTCCTAACTTGGTAACCGACCCAACATCATCCCCATCCCGTCTCTCCACCCTCCTCCCCTCCCCCCGACCTGCATTTCGACGCTCTCTTTGCGGTTCTGCCGGATCTCGTTGAGGAGCTCATCGGTGGCTTTTTGGCCGGACCTATCGGAACACGTAGTCAGACAATGTCTGCACCGCGGTGTCTCTGCGCCGCGCTAATGTCGCACGTGAGGCACAGACAGAGTTCCACGGATGGGGGCTCCAGCAGACATGATGGTGTC